TCATACCCAAACACATCCTGACCCACACACGTGAAGCCCACCTTGGCGTCCTCAGGATGAACGCAGGCGTTCCTTGGTGCTCTCCCCCCTACATGATTTCTGTATCTGCTCCCCAGAGATGATTTCCTAAGGATTGGGAGAGAGACGTTGAAGTGAGCTCTTCGGAGGGTGGAGCCCTGTGACCACCTTGGCTTCCTCCCTCAAAGGGATTAGATAATTCAGTGGTAACCAAGAAAGCGCCCCTCAACACAATGCAGTCAAATAAAAATGAATTTTGTACTAACCACGCCTATTGCATTTATCATCATAAAGGGCGGACGTGCAGCAATTTTAAAGATAAAATTATTCTGCATAGCAAAACTAAACAATTGGATTGATGGGGGGGGTGTTATATAACCAAATAAGAATCTAGAGGACAAGATCTGCTTATGTCATTGAAGCCTTATACCAACTACATGGCCATATTCTTATTATCACCATTTCATTATTATTATTTTCCATTTTGCAAATTATGAACTGAACTGTTTTCCAGATGCCAGGTTCCATCGTTTTTAGTCCACTGGGCATTAAGAAAATTAATTAGAAACATATATCATAAGTCAGAAAGATGCTAATGCTGTTTGACCCAATAATAACTTTTAGGATTCTATCCTAAGAAAAATATCTGAAAGTAGAAGATGTCCTTTGCAGTATTGTTTATAATAACGAGGGACTGGAAACAATCAAAACTATCCAGAAGTAAAAAAAAAAAAAAAAAATAGTAATATAAATTATCCACATTTAATCAGTAAGATGTTATATACTATTTAAAATTATTATGAAGATAATGGAACAACATGCGAAGTGGAAGGAAATGGAAAATATCAAAGAAATATAATGTAGCCCTTGCCAATGTGCTCAGTGGTTAGAGCACTGGCTCATGTACCAGAGGGTCTCAGTCAAGGGCATGTACCTGGACTACAGGTTGGATAGCTGGCCCCAGTTGGGTGGGTGCTGGCGGCAACTAATCAATGTGTCTCTCAAATATCAGTGTTTCTGCCTCCCCACTTCCTACCATTCTCTAAAATATTTTTTTTTTAATTTTTTTAAAGTATAATATAAAACCACATCTTCTCCATGGTTATAAGAAAAATGAGATGGAATTTTTGTAGACTTCTATCTCATTACTTTTATATCTGTATCATGTTGTAAGATAACCTTTAAGAAATTTATATGACAGCCGAGACCGGTTTGGCTCAGTGGATAGAGCGTCGGCTTGGGGACTGAAGGGTCCCGGGTTCGATTCTGGTCGAGGGCATGTACCTTGGTTGCGGGCATATCCCCAGTAGGGGGTGTGCAAGAGGCAGCTGATCGATGACTCTCTCTCATCGATGTTTCTAACTCTGTATCTCTCTCTCCCTCTCTGTATAAAATCAATAAAATATATTTAAAAAAAAAAAAAAAAAAAAAAGAAATTTATATGACAAAAGACTCCCATTTTTCCCCCTTGGCATCATAATTAGAATAGGGAGAAGTCAGAAGAAAAGAACTGTTTCCGCATTTCAGGAAATATCAGTGCACTGTCTAGTTCCAGGATTTTGATTCTGAGCGTATTGTATTTGGTAGTAATTACATTTCCCCTTACAACTGCGTCTGGAATCTGTGCATCCCTTTTTTTCTCTGGTAAACATGCTGTGGAAAATATTTTACAAAAAAAAAAATGCACTGTAGTCTGAGAAACACAAGATTTCTACTTCAGTAGATGTGTTAAATGGCACTTTTACAAAACATATACCACAAAAGGCAGAGTCCTGGTGGCCTGCGTCTTTAAGAAGAGATACTGCATGTGTCCTGGGAGACAGTCCTCTTGGCCTGAAGTCCTGGTGGCCAGGAGGGAGGCCAGTTTCCAGGGCAAACAGTGAGGCCAGTGGGCCCTGCTCAGGGCACTTAAATCATTTGGATCTCACTTTTTATGGTAGTGTTGTGAGTTATATTCTTTTTGGGGTTATAATTAGAATATGAGACAGATGGTGAAGGTCTAGTTAGAAGTGATAGCACGGTTAGAAATGCCTGCAAAATCCAGTCCTGATTCCGGCAAACCTGGTTTTCCCATTGCATGCAGAGCAGGGTGTGGTGCACATGTAGGTTTGCAAGCTAACCTCACTCTCTGAACCTTTACACCATTGGCAGCTACGTGGGACTGGGAAGGGACCTACAAAAGCAGTCATCTCCGTACACTCCTGAGGGTGAGGCCTCCGAGGGGAGAAGGGAGTTTCTGTCCATCACAGTCCTGTAGTTATGATTTTTTTTTTTTTTAATGAAAGCTTCACAGGGGAAATAAATGCTGGTTCTACTCTCACTTGCTCTTAGAGTCCTCATTGGGTTTTGCTCCCCGAGTATCTCACTGTAACATGAACTTCAGGATCACCTGTCGCTGAGAGTCGCTGATCTTTTTCAGGCAATTTAACCAATAAGTCACACGCCAGGTATTGTTTCCTAGTTCAAACCATTGACAAGGTCATGTCTGGTTTGTGAAGATGGACCCAAATCAGATGGGGCAGTGAGCAAAGTATTGTATTTTAAAAGAAATGATTGTTGATGAGCCTTTACTTGAATGCTATGAAAAGCCTATTTCAGAGTCTCTCTCTCTCTCTCTCTTTTTTTTTTTTAAGTCAGAACAGGCTATTTTTAATATAATAATCCTATCGCTTAAAAGAGGAACGCTGGCTTTGATGTCATTTGGTGGATGAAAACATTCTGGCTCAATAGAAAACCAGCATCTTCTTCATGCTCCTTTGAGATCAGTTCAGGCAACACACTGATGTGCATTCAGATATAAATGCCATGTTCACTTTGAAATGCAAATTGTTTAAAGAAAAATAGCATATGGTGGAGGTAAGTACCTTTTCAAATCAACTCGTACACTTCAGGGCTATGCGGAAAGCTAAAATTATTCTTTGGGAAGAATCTGGGGCTTTTGACAGAAGGAAGCGGCTAATCAGGGCGGCCCAGTGAGCACACGCACACCCACATCAAGGGGATGGCTCTGGGCTGGGATTAGCATGGTAATTGGGCTGCCCCCTGCGAATCGGCCAGCAGCCCCAGCTCCACAGGGTGCCTGAGGAGACACTGTCGCTGAGCTCAGGAATGGGCCAGGACGTGGGCCTGTGAATCATTAGTAGCACGGATGGATTTGGGGGGAAATACTGAGACAATACCAAAGGGGGCCCGTTGTGATCTGCTTCCTAGGGACACCAGCGTCTCCTACTTTGTAGGGCTGGGCCATTCTTTGGTGAAACTGTCTACTGCTCCACCTGGCTCCTGGCCTAACCTCTGAATTCACAAACCATTCAGATGACCTGTGGTGGTGTTTTTGTTTTTTATTTGTTTGTTTGTTGTTGTTGTTGTTGTTTTTGGGGGGAGGGTTAGATGTTATTGATATAATGTACACAAAGAAAGTGCAAAATCCTAAGTTGTAGCTAAGTAAGGGTACAGGTGACCAGCACACAGATCAGGAAGCCCCTGTGGGCCACCTCCTGCCACTGCCCACACCTCCCCCTAAACACACATACACATACACTCAAGGGTGATGGCCATCTGATTTCTCACGCTCCAGGTGAGTTTTGCCTGCTGATCTTGAACCCTTGGATGGGATCGTAGGAGTTGGTGCTCTCTCACTTGCCTTCTTTTGCTCCACATCCTCTCTGTGGTCCTTTGTGGCCCGTGTCATAGTTCATCCATTCTTACTGGGTGTAATATTCCATCCTATGGATACATTAAGAGGTATCGGTGAGTGAGTGGACATTTTAGCCATTAAATACCACTGTGGACATTCTTGTACGTGTTCTCTGGTGGATGTGTTTATGCATGTCTGTATGGTTTTAACTTGGAGGATATGAAATAAAAAGAGGAATCTTGAGCCCTGGCCCAGACGCTCAGTTGGTTAGAGCGTCGTCTCTTATACCCAAAAGTGTGCCAGCTTGGAAAGGGGTCTGGATGCCCCTGGAGGGGTCTGGGAGGAGCCTCATCCTTAAATCAACTCTGATTCATGGGTGTGGGCATCAGCACCCCCAAGGGGAAGAGAAGGCCCAAGCCACATCTTTTCATTCAGAAGGTTCTGTTGTTGTTTTTTTCAAAACAATTTAAAACTTAATTGGTTCTAAAGTGAAGCAGTTGGAGGATGGGTGGTGGGCACACCGTGCCATATCCAGATCTTGTATCTTAGAGATGTACTCTTGGAACCTATATGATCCTGTTAACCAATGTCACCCCAATAAACCTAATAAAAAATATGTTTTAGAATAAAACAATTGAAGGGGAGTTTTTAAAAAGAAACCTAATCCCTTTGAGGCTCTGCACATAGAGCAAACAGCTCACCAGGAACAAGGTGCGGTGGGCGGAGTGGTAGAGAAAGGCATGGAGCTCAGAATCAGTGCAACCAGAAAGGAATTCACATTGAATTGAGCAGCTAATGTAAATCCCTAAGTCACAACGGCTTCTTTTTCATCACCTTCCATGTGCACCGTGGAGCAGCTGAGGTTGTTTTTTCTCTGGCTCATCTGTTCAAGGTCAAGGGTAAACCTGCCTGGTTTCCCGGCACATGTGTCCAGGAACTCTGATTTGTGTTGATTGCCAAGTATATCTTCACCATGGACACAATCCTCTGGCACCAACACGGACTCCCCGTTGGCGGTCATTTTCACCTGGCAGCTCCTGTAGGCCCTCCTTGCTGGCTTTCTCCTCGAGGGAGTCCCCTGTCTGCACCGTGGCTCCCTCTAGAGGCGGTGGTTGTGCCGGGTGTCTTTGTGTGGGAGCTCTGCCAAGCACCCAAGTCTCATTGCACCCTCTCGTTCCTCTCGAATACTGTTCTTTGTGAAGCTTCTCCCTCCGCGTTAGCAGGACGACAGCTCCCTCGGTGGCAGGGCCCACGGTGCACAGGGGTGTAGGCCCCGTAGACTAACTGGAGCTGGCTTCTGGGGTCTGCAGTCCACAGAGTGTTCACCCGCCTTGTTTATTCCTAGGGAATGTCACTAGTGCATCTGGGTCTCAGATGGCCAGCGGCGTCAGCCTGGGCTCCTTCAACAGCCGACCGGACGGCATGCAGCAGCGGTCCTACTCAGTCTCCAGTGCCGACCAGTGGAGCGAGGCTACGGTCATTGCAAACTCGGCCATCAGCAGTGGTAAGAGAGGACGCGGCCCCATGGACCCGCGGCCACCTCATGGTCCTTGGTTGTAGGCCAGGGGCCGGCCCCGGCCCCCTGAGCACTCTGCTCTCCACTCTGTGGCGGCGCATGAGGCGACGTGTCGATCCTGCACATCTAGTCTTCCTTGATGGGCTGCATCGCTCATGTGTTCCTCTTCGATTCGGGGAAGTGTAGCTGTTCATACCCACGTGACAGGTTGGGACACTGAGGCCGCAGGCAGACAGGGCAGGCAGCTTAGTGAGGCTCACATGACAGCAGGGCTGAGAGGGAACGGCAGACTTCATGCCCTGGATCTCGCTTTCTGCACTCGGCTCCCTCCACTGGTGCTCCTTTTGTGTTGTGTAAGGGGGTTTCCACCAAAGGATAATGCATAGCTCATTCTCCAGTATTCCCACTCTATCCTGGATATTTTGGAGGATCTCCCCCTTTACTGCGGGCCCACCTATTAGGGAAACACGTGCACTGCCCTGGGGTGCGTGCGCCAGTCGAGTCCTGCAGCGTCGGGCTGCCGGCTTCCCGCATCAGCTCTGCCTGTGGCGCTTTGCCTGTGGCCTGCTCACCGGTGTTTAAGGAATTCCCACCGTTGTATGTCATCTATCAGACAGAGCTTCTGAGTAATTTTAGCGTAATTTGTTCTAATTAAAAGATTCGGCGTCAGGTCTTCCCTGTAGACCCACCAGCTGCTGCTGCAGGTAAACACCATCCATTTTCTGGGGACTCCACACCAGGCCTTCAAGGAAGACGTCCCCGGACCCAGCCAGGTGGCCGTAAAGGCCGCTCCCGGGAGGCTGAGGCAGGGAGGGCTTCGAGGCTGGGGCTTGGGGTTGGAATGGAGCATCCCTGAGCCAGCATCCAGCTCAGGTGCTGCGGGAGAGGACAGGGGTCACCTTCACCCGGCAAAGGGACTCTTCCAGGCTCTCTGCTTTCATCTGAAATCATGACTGTCCCTTGAGAGCCCTGATGCAGAGGATCCTCCTCTTGGAAATGACTCCCTTGTGATGCCCAGCCATCACCTGCCCCAGCAGCCCGGGGTCCTTCCTGTGACACACATCAGTGCCACTGTCATTGCCCCACCTGCTGCCCAGGAGGCCTCAGGAGACCCCTCACCCCCCACCCCCGAAAGCCTCTGCATTCACACCTGCTACCTGGGGGTCCTTCCTCACTCGCGTAGTTTCAAGGCGCACAGCACAACCCATGTTTGCGTCTTATGTACTGAGCACCTTCTGTTGTTATAGATGTTGCTTATCTTAAAAGGAGCAGGCAGTTCACCTATTTAATTGTTATCTTATCAGATACTTTGAAACTGCATTGATTTTTCATTTAGTATTAGTATTCCTAGCTGATTGGGGTTATTCTGTCGCCACCTTCTGTGGAGGTGGCTTCTACCTTGGAGGGTGGAACTCTGAATCCATGTCCCCGTCCCCGTCCCCGTCCCCCCCCCCCCCCCCCCGAGGCCCCGCCTTCTGGTCACCAACACTGCCTGCTTGTAGAGGGACAGTTTTAGGTTCTGCCCCCTAAGTGCCTTGGGAGTCACAGAAAAAATCCAGAAGTACCACGGAAGTCTTCTTACAGTTATTCCCCACTGGGAAGAAGGGGAGTTAGAAAAACAAATTTCTAAAAAAAAAAAAAAAAAAAAAAAAAAAAAAAAAAAAAGGCATCACCCCCAATCTATGCCTTTCTTACATTCAGAATATTTTAAGACTTCAGTGTCTTTAGTCCAAGAAAGGATGTTAGAAGCAGCATATTAATCTAGAATCCAATCTATTATATTTGGGCTTCCGCACTGTTCTTTCCTGGACAAAGTGGCTTGCGTTCCTCTCCATCGTAGCTCTACGCCTGGCTGCACCTTGTGTGCCATGGGCTGTGCCACCAAATCCTGAAAAGACACTATTTCCTGACCGTGGTGTGGTTGGAAGTTTCTTCCCACAGAAGTTGATCGCACACATATTTATAAAACACCTGTAGGAGAACAAGGTCACCTGTACAAGAATGCTGTTTTTAATTTGCAGAGTGATCTCTTATATATTAAATGCCCTGGGGCCACCTTTCTTAATTCATGTAGTATGTTTGCTAAAGACTAGTCAGGCTCCCCAATGTTAGAGAGCAGGAAGATAAGAAACCCAAGACTGTACCAGCCTGCTGTGGGATGTGGATGGAGAACTTGAGAGAGATTTACTGATCGGAACTGCATGTCACCGAACCCCATGAGTGATTCCGGGACACCTGGGGGTGGAGAAGCCCTGTCCGCCTGCTAGGAGGGTGGCGCCATCCCTGCCTTCATGAGTTGCCAAGGGGCCAGGCCTGAGCCATTGTTAATGAATGCACATGCACAGGATCTGACGAACGACTTCAAGAAAACGCATTTATGAATGAACTGCAAGACCTCAACTCGGGCACCAACATTCCCTCCCGTGCTAGGAAAATAGTCACAAAAGGCAAAAGCAGGACGGAGAGCTTTCTGCCACGCTCGTCCTTTGTACCTGGCAGTTGATACAAACCCCACCCTCTCTCTCTTTATTTTATTTTATTTTTTATCGTTTTCATCTTCCCCTGAGTCTTCAGTTTGGATGTTGGAGTCATAAAAAGCCTACCCTGTGCTAGCAGCTTTTGAATTCAAATGCCCTGGTTGTCATAAGCAGCTTTTGAATTCAAATGACCATGAATCCGTGAAAATGCTTTTTATTGTAAAACATCATCATAATAACAACATCGGGATGCCTTTTTCTCTGCCCCTTGGTCCACACTGAATGAAGACTTTGGCTCCGGAGAACTTGGCCAAGTCTTCCCGACTCAGGCACGGGGACCCCGGGGGTCTGTCTTGCAAACAGCTGTGAGCAACTCCTAATGAGGGCGCCCACTTTGTAGTGCGCTGAGCACAGAAGAGGAGGCGCTGGGTAAATGGAGGGGGGAAGAGAGGAAGAATGGGCTCTGTGCGCCAGCGTGCCCCACTGCTTTATGACTATTGCCGTTGTGAGGCTTTGCATTTAAGTACCCGAGGTTTAAAATTAAATGTCTAATGTAATTTGGCGTCGCTAACATGAGACCCGCACCTGCCCTCCGAGAAAACCCAGACAGCTCCGTTCAGGGTTTCAGATCGGCGTCGGCGGGTTCGCAGGCAGCGCGGAGGACAGGGTCCCCCCTCCGCCGAGCCTCCGCGTGCTGCCCGGCGTAATTTTTTAAAATGCAGACACATATTCATCTTGGGCTTCTGCATTGAAAAGGGCTGTTCCCATAGTCCATGAAAAATTAATTTTTTTACATTTTTCCTCACTCTCCTAAGTGTTTGACAGAAGTAATTTTTGCAGCGAGAGGGAATAAAAACTGGTGGCTGTAAATTCCTGTCCTGGAACCCCTTGTGCAGATTCTTTATGGACCCAGAATTGATCTACATGTCAGAGCCTGTTGTGGTTCAAACTGTTTATCACCGTAATGGCCGGAGTGCGCCCGGGAACACCAACTTATAATCCCGGGTGAAAGAAATCGGTGTTTGCAGTCAATGAGGGGCAGCTGAGCTTTATTGATAGGTTCAGAGCAATTACCTCTGCAGCAGCTATTGGCTGAGGGTTTTCTTGAATCTTATTGGGAGCGTGTGATTTTTTTTTTTTTTTTTGATTAATCACTTTTTCTATAGGTGATTTTCTCTAGAAGCACTAGCCCGGCGTTAGCTTAGCTGGGTGTAGGAGGGGACCCTTGGGGTCATCTGTGGCACACCTGGCTGTCATAGCTCACTCCAAGGCAAAACGCCACTTAGATGCATCACACCTGCGCTGCCGCCCCAGCCCAGGCGGGGGCTCTGAGTGCCAGCCTTGGCCCCAGGGCCTTAACTGTTGCTGTTGCCGTGGCAGCCAGGCTTCCCCCGCCTCTTGACTGGCAGGTTGTTCTGCTGGCCCCACCCCTCCGCCGATTGCTTCATTCCAACTGTTCATCTTCCACACTGACTGGCCATCACCGCCAATATATCGTATTGCTTCAAGTGACTCTCAGGCAGCCCGCCTCCATCGGGCCCTCGTCCAGCCTTGTCAGCATCGAGTATGAAACCATATCCATCTCCCTCCTCTCCGGGGAAGATGTGCGTGAGCTCACGCGCATTTCCTCCTCACCCTTTCCTCTCCTGTCTTCCCGTCAGAACCTGCGGTTACCAGATAGTGGTTTGTGGCGCTGAAGCATTTGAGCCGTTGCTAATGTTGACGTATTTTTTTTCCCCCCATCATGAGCATGCATTTGTGTGGCTGTTTTAATGACAGGCTTCTAGAAACACAGAGTTCCGCTTTGGCTCTCACTGTCGTTTCTCCATCCCTTGGGAGCCAGCACGTGTTTCAGCTATGGGTCCCCCCAGGCTGCTGTCCGCTCATCAGTTTTTGCATTTACATCTGAGCGCTTTTTTTCCCTTCTCCTTGGATAGTATGCTGGCAATTTTAGTATGTGACCAGCAGGTGGTGGTAGCGTGAAACTCTCGCCAGGAGGCTTGCTATGTAGGAGGGTTTTAATGAGGGGCAAGGGGAGCCCACCCACATGGGCTGCCTTTGTTGTTAATTGCCTCTGTGGCAGGAGCTTGGCTTCTCACTCTCATCTCCCGAAAAGCATTATCTATATTGATCGCTGAGAAAAGAGGCTGAGAAACTTAAAGACCACACTCCTAATAAGTAGTCAGGATTCAAACGCAGGTCTTTTCTGATTTCAAAGTTTATCTTTTCTGCTCTGCGATATTTTAGAGCAGTGAATACTTAGCATGAACACATTGTGTTTTAAAAACTTGATTACCTTTTCGTAGGGATTGCTTTTTTAAGGAACTATAATATAGACAGACATTTCCCTCGTCTCGCTTATCCTCAACTTTTCCTTTATCACCGGTTCCTCCCAGACCTTGGCCGGCGTTCAGAGCCCACTCCCTGGGGTCTGTCATCAACCCTCCGCTCAGCTCGGTGTTAAAGGGCCCGTGGGCTCTCATCTCTCAGCGCTGGGCACTCCCTGTCTCC